TCCAGTCTTCTTGGAACTTTCAGCCTTACATGGAAGACTCAGTCTTACTGGGGTCTTCCAGCTGAACAAAATAGCTGATGGATTTGACCATGTGCCAAGGGTCCGTCCATTCCAGCGTAGTCACAGCCTGCCTCGGCTGTGACTCAACCCGAGCATTAAATGCTCAACTTCTAAGGAAGCTTATTCTGTTGAACTGAGTACTTCGTCACGACTTCTGATGACCCCAGCTACTCTGACCGGAGACGCTGAAAAGGGAGCGTGCCAATGGACCTCTGTTCCGGAGTTGATGTATCCTCTGCTAAGGTAACAAAGTCGTTGCACGCCCTGAAGTGTACCGGAGGGCTGAGCTGGATTCGGAGGAAGGGTGCCATGTTCTGGTTCAACACATAACTTTCCTCCATCTAAACCTCCTCTTTAAATCTATTCCTTCTCTTAAACTTCTATTCACCAGTAAATCAAGCTAGATTCCTTCAGAGATGAATCAGTCTCAATCAGTAATCTTCTGTTGTCTTGTTTAGTAAAGCGTGCCAAGTTTATTAATCAGAAACAGATCAACAAATCACTGTGTACATGTTTGATGTTAAATTTTGATTCTGTTAAATAAATGACCGCATTTATTCTTATGGGTCAAAGATAAAATGGTGTCTCATGTCACTAATTACCACTCCACTCCACAAGTATCTTGGTCACATGGAAGAAATTTAACTAGAAAAAGAAAGAATCCGTGTTGATTAAACAATTAATATTCTTTGTGCTTGAACTAGCTTGAAGAATAATTAATTAGTGGTGAAGCTAACCCTAGCTCACTACATTTTGGTGGCCCGTAACGTTTCTGAAGAGATAAGTTATGTGTGACATGCGATATTGTGGAAAAATGCTTCATGTTGACATAAAAAAAGTCCAGGTTTTGACCTTGGTAAAAACATATTTAATGGCTGTGGTGTTCAGAAAGATACAGCATTGTGTTGATGTTCATTTTGAAGCTAGAAATTGTCATTCTGTGTGTGTGATTAAGCTGTAAACAGAGAGGAAGGACACGTCATTCTGTTTGGAACTCTTTCATGACCAGGGGTTCTACGGTCCGACCCAGTTCTGATTATTGGACTCGAACGAGTCGTGATTTAAATGGTGAGACGCTGTCTGTGAAACTGAGCGCCGACTCAGAGCTGCTTCTATGCTGATTCGCTACATTCCCACAGTTAATTGTGCATTTTTGAAGCGTTAATGGGCGATATTGTGGCCGGACTGTTGAAGCTAACAGCTAGCTTACACAGGTACGCACGAGCTGTGATTGGTCGAGGACCGCTGTGTGAAACGTTCTGATTTGCAGAGAAGCTGGTGACGTAACGCCGTGTATGTCCACTCACGCTGGCGTCAGTGCATAAAGCCCACCACGATGTCCACGTGTCTGTAAAGTCACGTGACCCCGGAAATGAAGCTCGTTTTTTAAACAGAGTCTTCCTTAGTGGTTAAAAAAGCTGAATGATAGCCCTAAATTCGCTGATAACCTGATGAGTTTATGCCTAAAGAGCGTGCTTTTGAAGCGACGCCACGTTCAATCTTTAAATCCATCTATAAATGCTGATTTGGACCAGGTTCGTCCATTGCTAATCGAAGCTAACGGCTAACGACCGGATGTCAACAGGACGGTTCACAGGAAGTCGTCAATGACTCCTACCATCGAAGACGCGTAGCTGCAGTCACCCTGTGGTAAAAGTAAGCTTGCACCACCACCTGCTGTTGAAGAAGAGTATAACAGTTTTTCAGAACTGAGAGCTGCAAACTCGTTTTTCATTTTATTTCTAAAAAGATGCATGTGGGTAAATAAAAATGTTAATCAAGCTTGGTTTATGAGTTACTGTTTTAAATAGCAAATTCTGGTCAATTAAACTGCTTAGTAGTTGTCGTTAAACTTAGTAGTTCATAGTTCTAGAATTGCGCCGCTCAAGGTGGCTGCATGTTGGAGCAGCTCTGTTACTTTCATTCTGAGATTTTGCTTTAGGAAACTTTAACTCCTATTTTTCTGGATGTAAATCACATTTTTTGGATGATTGTTTCCTCCGGTATCGGATGCTGTGCAGCTGGAAGGATTTTTACTGAAACTTTTTTAGTTTTGGACATTTGTTATGATGTGTAACCATGACAACAAGGCAGTTTTCTACAACCAACAGCAGCTGATTAACATCTCAAAAGCTCCTATGATGAAAAGGATGTTCTGTGGATGCATTCTCATCTACCTGCCTGCTGTGCTCAAGTGCCTGACCACTAAGATCCTGGAACTAGCAGGAAACATGGGTCATGAC